TGAAAAATGTACTCTGTGTGATTGGCTTTCCGCCCTTTGTATTAAACTATGCATACATGCATGATTCTGTTTTGTTTATAGTTGTTTAAGCAACTTAATTATAATTGGTTTATAAACATTATTTTAAACATTATGCACTTTTTTTCGCAGATAGTCATGTTATCTTATGCTTTGAATGATGCGCCCTCTTGTGGCCTCAGGAGAGAAGCCTAAAGCTTTTCTTCACCCTAACTGAAATTATGCATTTTAAATTTGAATATAATTAGAATTTTGATCATATTTATGTACAAAATTCGAATTCAGTTTTTCAGCCATTTTGACAGCTCTACTACTGTTCAAATGTTTGTAGTAATTTTGTTCAGCGTGGATGCATAAAATGTATCAAAAGTGCCAGTAACAACTTATATTGCTACAGATATTTTCTCTACTTCAAATAAATTCTGTTCTGTTCATTAAAGAATCCTGGAAAAAAAACGTTATCATGGTTTCCACAAATATATTAAACGGCACAACTGCTTTTAACACTGATAATACTTCTTGAGCACCAAATCATCGTATTAGAAAGATTTCTGTAGGATCTTGTGACCCAGAAGACTGGCGTGATGATGCTGAAAATTCAGCTATGCCATTACAAGAGGACTTTTAAAATATATATATATATATATATATATATATATATATATATATTTTTCAATTTCATTTTTAGTTTTATCTCAAAGATATTAAAAAGGCAAGCACTCATAGAAACGAACAAACTAACATCAAAGCATAGGAATGTAGAACATAAACAAATCTGAATCATGGAATCTCAGCTACACAAGATAATCTCAAATCTTGCTGTTGTGATTTCTAGCAGTATTTGTACTGACGAATACAACCTCCACAGAGCGTGTGCCGGCCTGTGAAGGGTGAGTGTTTGGGTATTGTTGAGGTCAGTAATGGGTGTTGTTGGAACATCAAACATTATTTTGCAGCGATGCAGCGCAGCAGTGTTTTTGCACTTTACTATGATCATGCCACCCTCCTACATAGCAACAGAGATAAAAGGATGACTAATGTGTCCAGTGCAGAAAAACATGCATTTAACACTCGTGTTATAACTTGAAGACGTACAGTATAAGGCGTACAAGGGCCAAATGCAAAACAGCTATTTTAAACAGGATTTTCAGGTTGCAAGGTTCCTCATAGGGGTTCAGTATAAATCTAAAAAGCTTTCTGTTGCATTTATCGTAACAGAAACACATTTACTGTAAATGCATCCACTATTTGCATGACAGTCATTATGTCTGTCTATCTCTCATTATTCACACTAGGGCTGGTGCAGCCCAGCCACAGAGCCCACTGTTGTCAGACCAGCTTAAAGATCAGATGGTATTAAAGCTTGCAGTCGTCATGGAGACCACTTCCAAGAGACTACTAATTGATCTCACTTCCGTTCCACTCATGCTTGTGCTGAGAAGGTGTGAAACACAAAGCATAGCAAGAAACATATAGATGTCTGTGCATAGCAGCTGGGAAACAACATTACTCTTCCATTACTACAGATTTCTTAATGTGAGACATAGAAAAACAACATCTGTATTGAATTTTCAAAGCAAAGAAAAATCTCTTGATATACAAGCCATTAAAATCCCAGAATCTGCCTAGAGGTCTGCTACCTTTTCGAGTATACTTTCGAGTTTCGGGTCGGGTTCGGGTTAATGTTTAGTGAATAGCTTCGGGTTCGGGTCGGGCTCGGGCTCGGGCTCGAGTTTATAGCTAAACTAAAACTATATGCAGTAGCCTAGGCTACGCTGCTTTCATAGACGCACACACACAAATTATAGCACACGACAACACAGCACGGAAACTTTTATTAGTAAAATAGCTTCGACAGGCTACTGACTCGCAACTTTATATTTCTCTGCAATGAGGGGGTAAAATTGCTGTTTTTGAAGTAACTAAGCCTCATTGCTTGTAGAGAGAGGCGCGCAGAGGCAGGTTCTCACACGCAACTTTCCCCCCTCTCTCTCTCTCACTCGCTAATTCAAATAAATTATATAATTAATTAATTCAAATAAATGCGATCTTACCGCACTACATCTCTGTGTCTGATTTAAAGCAGGCTGAATGCTAATGAGCCTTAACTGACGAAAATTACCATATTTTGCACGATGGAAGAATTATCGTCTTGTCGTATACAACCATTAAAAAACTCGGCAGAATTTATGTGACCGCTGCACCTGATGTTCATAAACTTTCATAACTGGTAAGTGTTTTTTCTTTTGCCTTGTGAACTGGCCGAGCCTTAATGATTCTGTTTCTTACATGTATTTGTTTACTGACCGTTGCATGCAATCGTGAAATACAGTATTTATTTTTTTTAATTGGCTATTCTTTGTGGGAAAAAAACAAAGATTTTGGGTTTGGGTCGGGGTCGGGCTCTAAATTGAACTGTGCCGCTCGGGTCGGGCTGGGTCAGACGATTTCGGGTACGGGTCGGGTTCGGGCTTCAGTTTAAAGCCTGTGCAGACCTCTACTGCCCCACTTTTGCTGGTAGAAATGGAAGAACATTGAGGGAATAGCACTAACCTGCGCTGCCTGTGCTGGGGGGCCTCTGTGGGGGCCCGGCAGACACTACGTTTCTGTGCAGGGAACCCTGAGGAGACAGCATGGCACCATCACTCAGAGAGGCAGCGGCGGCCAACAGGCTCTGGCTGCTCAGAGAGGCCCCGGGGTTGTAGGACATGGCGTTGGGGTTCGTCACTGGCACAGCCACATGCATGGAGAAGTTCTGCGGGGGCAAGGCCGTCGGCTGGAAGAGAGACACACACACACACACACACATAGGGCTTTATGTGGGAGGCATCAAAGACTCTTAAAGCAACCTGTCATGCTTGTATTTCATCTAAATATCCCAGTATCAAAATTGACATTCACACAGATAACTGAATTATATCTCAACAAGAAACTGTACAATCGGAGAATGGAGGCCAGTTGGTTCTGTGCAGTGTTCGGATTCATTTAGCCTGGATATTCAGGTAGAATGGCCCATAATGGTACGCTGCACATATCTTCAGGCTTCTACTAGAAGTGAAAGATGACCCCCTGAGCTTTGGTGCTTTTATCATACAATAGAGGAAAACAGGAGATAGATTGCCGGGTGGAAAAATGTAATCTCAGGAGGGAGATCTCCGGATCACCTTGGGCTGTCCAAAAAGCCCGGCATAAAGTGAGAAATACTCCTGGAAAACAATTCTCCTATTGGGAGTCATTTTCACTGTGCTCGGAACACCAATTTTGACCCAGGTTCAATACATAAAACAACATCTTGGGATGAGAAATATTACGACGGCATGCAAACTTGGGAAATATCTTGAAATAGCTTGGCTATAGCCAGCACTGCACTTGGCCATTTTCACAAAACAAAACAAATAAAACACACAAAAAACACTTTTTTAAATCAATCAATATACATACATTTTATATTGGGGGAAAAAAAGAGGTGAAATAACTACATCATTTGACAGCAACGCTGACATCTTAATCATATCAACAGGCAGTGCATTGCTGACTATCCATCCAGTTATCCAGAGTGAGTGTGAGCAGGGGCAGTGTCCATTCACTTAATAGTGCAGCGAGCCAGTTAGTGAGAATATTAGTGTGTTAATGACACAGAACTCGAGCTTTGTTCATGTCCATTCGGTGCAGTGAAAACAATCGTCTGGCACCCACTATAAGGTGCAGAATGTTATGGTCAACACCCAATAAGATCACTATTGTCTCTATTATTAAAAAAAAAATTATAATAAAATATGTGCAAAAATAAATTTTGTAGCTAAATACTCCCAGATTTATTTGTTATTAGCTTGTACTAGAAAATGGTTCAGCTATTTGATTGTGCTAGGACTGTGGGTTCTGGAAGGACTAAAGAAATTGTCCAGGGAGGTGAACAAACAAACCCAGGCGTTGCAACCCACCAGAAAGAGTGAGACTAAAAGAAATCAGTTCTAATGAGTGGAGGAGAAACGGTGAGAGTCTCTCCATCTTTATACAATGGCAAATCTTCTCCATCACATGACCTGGACAGAGCACAGCACTGAGAGAAAAGAATCCATTTCCAGATCTGTTGGGGCGAGTGCTGGGAAGAACACATCAATTACCTCAACCAATGAATCTGTCAGTATTGTAGCCAGAAGGTGGACATAGAGACATTCTGTCCGGAAAAAAAGCATACTGTAAATAGATCACACTTGTACTAAACTTTTTTTTTTAAATACAGTGGGGCCCAAAAATCCACACTGAAAATATTTTACATTCATAAATTTGGACAGGTTTGTGCAGGTTAATATAAGCTAATAGGTGATGTAAATTTAATGCTAATTAAACTTTTCACTTAAATTCTATAATTTGTCATTTAAAACAACATACTTCACTACAAATAGTAAAAATCGTGATTTTATACCTCACTGTATGTAGAGTATTTAAAAAGAGTTTATTATTTCAGAAATCGATCAAATAAGCTTGTGATCTTAATAATGTGAAAGGTTTAAACAATGTGATCTTATTAGGGTGAGAGAAAAAGGCTGTAAAATTAATGAGAAAAGTGCACTTCCAACAGACAAAAAAAAGAAAAAACTATGCTTTAAAAAATAAATTAAAAAGTCCTTAACTGTTGACAGAGGTTGCAGGGTGAGGCAATGAAAAAAGGGGGGGGAAGGGGGGAGTATCCTTTCTGCCACAAAGCCAAGCAAAAACGTTGCATTTACTTACGATTTTATGATTTCGCATCATATTATCAAACTCTTCATTAATTTTTTTATATTTTTCTTCTGTGTGAGGGGTGAGGACATATGAGGCATCAGGATCCGGGCTATCACAGCCTCTGTGTTCTTTCTTGTTAAGCGCCTGTAGTGAACATCAACATAAAAAGAGGGATCAACACAAAAAGGCAGGGAGGAAGCAGTACTTACACCACAGCGCTTGTACATTAAATCACTCTCTTCGTTTAGTTTGCCGAAACGGTCGTCCATGAGGGGACTGTGACCGAAACAGTCATCTGGGTCAGGACTGGTACACTGGTCATTATGGCCTTTGTTTCTTAATTTCTGAAAATGAAATTGGAAAATTCACACATACATAGACATACGTAAACCCAAACAGCTGTTATCGTTGGGTTCATTTAAACAATGAAAAAACAATTGATTGATTAGTGAATATGACAGTTAACTACTTAAATAATCTAGGGCAGAACATGTTGATAAAATGCATAATTCAGAGAATGTAATAAAGAAATGCAGTTACTGAACTTTGCTACAATTGCATGCTGTGATCAGGATGTTGAAATTGCACTGGTAACAGTTCAATGGATAATTTGGCAAATACATTAAGAGCTAATACGCTGATGGTTGCACCATGCCTATTGCATTAGCCCCTGGGGAGGAAATTGAATTGCCACTCCTTATCCTTTCCCTTAAAAACATTAGGCTGGGGAAAACCAAATCGTCTTTTCTCTCTCTGCGTTTCTCTCCCTTCCTCCTCATTGCTCTCTTTCTTAGGAACATACATTTCCCTCTGCATGTGTGTGTTGTGATGCATATTTCATTATCTTTCAGTTATCATAAGCCACCCAGCTGGAAAACACACACACATAAGAGGATCCCACAGTGCAGTGCTTTAGAAGCTCTCTCGCTGTAATTCAGCACAGCTGCCACTCACAGGAGCCTATCAGAGTGAAAGCAATGTACAAATTGAACGGATTATCAAATCCGGTCACTAACATTTATTTAAGTGTGGAGAGGACTGATTATTCTAAGAGCAAAAGTGCAAAGGGCAGAGCACCTGCTGTAATATTAGCCATTTTACCCAGAGGGAACGGAAGCTTTTTTGTAGTTTTTAATAAATACAAGTCTGTATTTCTTTTGTCAGAGGGGAGTCTATTGGTAACACATTACTTAAGGCCTGTATAATGCATTGTAATATTTACATGGTAGATATTTAAAAAAGCATTATCACAACACACAATTTAATGTACGGTAATGCGTTACAGCCTTTAAAGGTACAGTATAAACATTACCAGACATTGCATTGTAGCCTATTATCAAGTATTTATGAAAATAATGATAATGATCATTTATGAAATACATCTTTGAAATTTCATGCATCATTATGCATTATAATTATGAAGATAATTTAATACAATTACAATTCATTTTTGTTAATTAAAAAATATATAATTTAATGTAAATTAATAATTTAATGAAAGGCAATTTATGGAAAAAGAAGATAATGCATTACAATTACAGTATATCTTCATAATGAAGTAAAGTGTTAACCTCATATTTTTCAAACTCGCCTTTACCCATCACACCGTTTACATTAACAAGATGACAGCGAAGGTTGCCAGGTTCTCAAACAAGGGAAATCTTCATTTGATGCCCTGGTCTGTTTCTTACTACTGTACACAGAGCTCCTGTAATAAGACTACTGTACCTCATGATGGTTTGGCAGCAGAGGTTACATGTTTTTTCATGAAAAAGTCATGTTTGGAAGGAAGTGAAGCAAAGCACATATACACTAACAAGCCCCTTAGTCTTTGCATCTATCATGATGTGTGTGAGAGTGTAGGTACGTGTGTGGGTGTGTGTGAGAGTGCCTTTAGAGTGCAGCTGCTGTCCTCTAGAATTTCTGTGACTGTAGAGTGAGATCTTTGTTGATCCTTATCTACTTTATCTAACAACATGCAACCAATCTCCGAGCGAAGTGAACTCAAACCTGCATTTACACACATGCACAGGGACAATCGATACATGTACACGATGTGCCTATGCCTAAGCGAAACACAAAATGCAAGTGGTATACAGATTCCAGCTACAGATACATGGCTTTTCTGGGACCATCTGAAACCATAAAGCTATTTAGTGTGGTGCCGAAGGTGGCTCTCGCTCGCTTTTTCTGAGCAACGCCTTCCCGGGTCATTTCCTGTTTACAGGGCCCTATGTGGCTCTCTGAAACACTGTGTTTACCAGTGAAACTATGCACTTTCTCCCCCAGAGTGCCACAGATTCCATCGGGACCTGCAAATTATAGTCCCAACCTGCTCATTATGTGGCAAGCGCTGTGGCTGGAGCTGGGCAGCAAGGTCTGTGTGAGCAGGGCAGTATTCAGCTTTCAGTTGATGTATCAATTTCAATTTTGAAAAATTGACCCTTATGACTGGCTTTGTGGTCCAGGGTCACATATTGTCAGTCAAAATAAACAGTCGTAAAGCAGTATGACATATGCCAAAATAAAGCAACACAATAGCACTAGTATGGCCTTTTGTCTTGCAAAAGAGATCACATTTGTGCATTCCCATACTGCATCATGCCCCCCAAGTGCTTTGAAGTCTGAAGGACAGGGATAGCACGCTGGTAATTCCTTCTTAAATGGCTTGGCATGTTTTGGGTGTCCCACAGACACTGCCCGCAGCTCCAGTAAATGGATCACTAAATCAGCACATGTCCAAACAGGTGTCCCTCTCCCCCAACACCTGTCAGCCCCTTCACCTCACGATGCAGCCAATCAGTGGCCTCGGCACGTCAGCACGGCCATAATAGGGCACGTTATGCGTAGCGATCAAAATCTGTCTACAGCAGAAAATAAGATGCTGCCAATGAGCGACTCAAGTGAATCCATTAAATACAAGCACAGATGGGGGCATGAGGTTGATCACGAGTTTGATTAAACCGGATCATTTGCATTCTTAATTACACCTTTAAGTGTACGGCTGCGCATGATCTCTCATCAACAGGCCAAGGTGGCGACTGCATGCAACATCCTTTCAACCTTTGCAAAAAAAAAAATGATGGTTGTGAGTTGCCAATCTAGACAGTATTTTACTGTGTATTAAAGATAAGCATCCAAACAAACATTTTCTTAATCAGTTCTAATATTTTCTAATATGGTAAGTTTTGTCAGGGAAATGGAGTGTTATTGTTATCGGAGTTTGGGGATGGCTGGCTCATTAGGTGTGTGTGTGAGACTGGATTGTGAGTGTGTGAAAGAGGGAGAGTGGGCAGTGCTGGCGTAAGCAGTTCTGGAGAGGGAGCTGAAAACTCATATTGTGTAATCTGTTCAGCATGTCCCGCATGGCTCAGAGACAGGACAGTGGGACAGCTGCCAATATTCGTGCCAATATTCGTTGTTTTTTTTATATAGAATGCATGCCAGACCTGTATTGATAAAACTTTGGCAGTCGACACAAAAAATGAGAGACTGACGTAAAGCCAGCACATAACTGCGTAGTGAGTGCATTTGAATGTTTGTGTGTGTGCGTTTGAGATAAAAGCAGAACTAAATAACGAAAGAAAGGGACAGAGAGACATACTTAGAAACCAGACAGTTTAAAAAGCCCTTTTTTTCTCTTCTACAACACACAACTTCCCTCTCTCAGACACTCCCTGAACAGCCACTGGAAAGATTACTGGAAAAATGAAATGCTGTGAAACAAGTTAAAGCTCTTGCATAAGAAAGCACAATCAAGCTCAACAAAAAAGATATTATTTGCCAGAAATGTCAAACTGGAGAAAGTGTTTATCACTAGGATTGCTCTAATATTAAAATTCAGACAAAAACCTAAAAACCTTACACAAATACATAAAGCATATGCACTCCATTGACTGACTGCAAGCTTTTTAATGGTATAGTGTATGTTACAAAGCTTTTTTATTTTTATCTTTGGATCTTTCTATTTATCAAAGAATCCTGAAAAAAAATTTACTCAACTGTATTAAATATTGATAATAATAATAATAAAAAAATTATTGAATAGCAAATCAGCATATTAGAATGATTTCTGAAGGATCATGTGACACTGAAGACTGCAGTAATGATGCTGAAAATTAATTACATTTTAAAATATATTCAAATAGAAAGCAGTTATTTTAAATAGCAAAAATGTTTCACAATATTACTGCTTTTGCTGTATTTTGGATCAAATAAATGCAGGCCTGGTGAGCAGAAGGGAATTCTTTAAAAACATTAAATATATCTTACTGTTCCAAAATTTTTGACTGGCAGTGTGTGTATATCATTCTAAATGTATAATTTAATTATATATAATTTAAAAACATGTAATTAATTCCTGATGGAAAAGCTGAATTTTCAACAGCCATTACTATGATCATTAAAAAAAATCATTCTAAATAACTTCAGAATTATTCTATTCTAATATTCTGAAATTTTCAGAAATCTTTGATTATTAGAAAGTATTATAACATTATAACAACATTATAATTTGTCTGTCACTTCTTATGCATTTAAATACAAATATAAATCTCCTGTATAAGCCTCATTCATCTCCCTTACAACTCTAGGTATACACAGTGAAATCGCTCAAGCAGTATACCTCGAAAAACCATTTCACTCATACTCCCCGTTCTGTCAAAGGTCTTTTGTATTTGAGTTATTCATGTGCTGCACATGGATAAAAGGAAGATTCAAATATAGACAGCAAATGTAGGCCTAAAAGCACAGCATTCAAAATAAAGCAGAAGCTTAAAAAAACTAAAGAAAGACGAAGAAAGAATGGAGGATGATGATAGAGTGCGAGCTGTGTGATGGGTGGAGTGAGGGTGGAGAGCTTATCCTCCGTTTCTGATTAAATCATACAGTACGGTGACGCAGCTGTGTGTGTGTGTGTGTGTGTGTGTGGAGAAGAGACTGAAAGAGAGAGAGAGAGAAAGTGGACAGTATTTTATACAACCGTGGCTAAGATAAACCATCTCTGTTATAATGTTTGCACGCTCAATCAAATATTGTTGCATTCAAAATGGAGGCCCGGTTTCTCTCTGGGCGGCTGGTGTAATCTGTCCTAACCTCATTTCCAGCAGGCATCTCCATATCTTTGGCCCTGCAGAGTTATGAAGCAGTCGCCGTCTCTGTAGCAACACTGAGCAGCATGCTAATCCTTATGACATCACTACTGTGCCCAGTGCATTTTGTTTAGCATGATTATTAAAGTGGAGAGTGGGCAGTACCCATAAAAATCTGTGTTGATAGGAAATATGTTATCTGTTGAGGAATACTGCCCTTAGATAATACTGTAGTCGGCTTTGAGCACAAGGAACTGCTCTTACACTTTTTTTGTCCTCACTTGCATGTCGATGCAAATAAAATATAAACTATAGCAAAGTTTGATATATAGTTAATTCTACCAAACCTGTATACATACATTATTTACCTGCATACATTAATTTAAAGCAATATATACCAATATATACCATATAGCAAATCTTGGCTGTGTGAGTGGTAATATTTTCACAAATTGTAAACTGTATTATCGCACGGCTCTCTCTCTCTTTCCATATATTATTATCACCCAGCTCTTTGTATAAAGTTGGAAAAGTATATCCAACTTTGTCCACATACATACAAGATACTTACGTTGGGTGATATGTGATATATATATAATTTACCTGCATACATTAATTTAAAGCAATATATACCAATATATACCATATATCTTGGCTGTGTGAGTGGTAATATTTTCACAAATTGTAAACTGTATTATCGCACGGCTCTCTCTCTCTTTCCATATATTATTATCACCCAGCTCTTTGTATAAAGTTGGAAAAGTATATCCAACTTTGTCCACATACATACAAGATACTTACGTTGGGTGATATATATATATATAATATATATATATATATATATGGATCTTGATATTATATATATATATATATATATATATATATATATATACACACATATACATACAGTATAATATATATAATAATATATATATATATATAGATAGATAGATCGCTAGATAGATCGCTAGATAGATAGATAGATAGATAGATAGATAGATAGATAGATAGATAGATGACTTGACTTTATGCCTATTCAATCATAAAAACATGACGTAGTGAACAAATAACAGCAATAACGACCCTTATAATTAACAGATATGTGTAAAAAATAGCTTTATTAAGAAATGTCTCTGTGTGCTGCACTTCGTCAGATCTCATTCTAAGGGCTACTGAGTCATAAACCAGGATGTGACCTCATGCGTGTCCTTCCTGCCTCTGTGCCATTGTCTGAACGGTCTTCTCAGAGGAAGCTGGACCGCAGGGGCTCATTTTCAGCAAGTGAGTCCGGTTGAACGTTTGGTAATTATGATCTCTGTGCAGCTGTTTAGAAAAACAATATACTGTGAAATCCATGCCCTCCCACCCGACAAAATCTGCCTCACAATGCGTGCCGCATAAAACGACAGTCGTTTTAGCATCTGATGCATCTCTTTCACCATGTACCGCAGTTAATTACCGCTGGCTGACCGCCGAGATCGCTGCTTTTATACGAATACGCCGTTTCATATTAGCTCGTAAGAGTATGTTACACTTCCAGGAGCAATAGTTTCCCACAAAGACAAGCAGATGTTCGCAGACTGTACGCTGGCGGGTTTGATCAAGCTATTAGCAGCCACAGCGAGGGAAGGAACACTTTCACAATCAAGGGTATTTTGAGACATGAGAGCAGATTGGGAATTGAAACCAAAATTGAGGTGAAGGCATATCAAAGTCATCGCTCAAGTTTCTTTCCAACGATGTTGCTCTCCAGTCCCACTGGCCTAAATAAATGATCTCATCTATGCAACAGTCAAATCTACAGTAAAACTATTACAGTTAATGACGAACAAAGGGAGGAAGAAGTGGGAGATTTCGATGAGACAAATGCATCGTTTTCCTCATCCTTCGCGATAGCCATTTCCTCCCGAACCCGTTAGTCTTTCTTTCGCTCGCTACCTGTCTGTCTTTCCCACTCGTCTCGACACGCAGACTGGATCATTAGCCATCAGAGCCCTTGAAACAATAGCCCACCCGAACCCCTCTGTTCCTGCTCTCCTCTAAAATATTCATAAGGACAATTAGGAGTTCCGATAAGGCAGAGAGGAGAAAGCAGAGAGGGTAGGTCGTGCCAGCAGGACGTCTGTTCTGTAACACTCTACACCCCTGCCACTGAGCAGTCCTCATCAATCTGTGAGAGCGCACCTCTCCTCACGCACCTCGCACTCTGAAAACCGCCGGCCTTGATACTCACATTGTGCGGTGCGGTAGGTCAAAGGATGGAGCACAGAAGTGACGAATGGGCTGGCAAACATATTTAACAAGCAACCCTGTGGGCTTGTGGTGGACTGATTCACACAGGCATTTATATATGAGGTGGTCGGTGGTTTTGCCTTTTTTCAGGTCATCAACACTGAACAATATAATTTCCTGAACTCACAAAGCATGGTGGTTTCAGGTTGACAACTTGCATGTAAAAACGTCAAGCACGCTGTCTTTGAATAAAAAAACACTGGATACAGATACTGTAAGCACACCTACAAGTGTCTGTAATCCTGATAAGCCTTTAAGTGCAGCACACAGATGCGTAATGATTGTTTAGGCTGATCTGAAATGAAACTTTACTTTGAATGCATGGTTGTCTTTCATGGAAAGAAGTCGACGAGCCCTCCTACACATGACTCAGACAGCGCAAAACTCTGGTTTCCATGAAAAGGGAGGGCATTATGGGAGAGGTTATCACTTTACTCTTCAGTAAACCGGGTGTTCTGTGCTGTGTTGCTGTCCTAAAACTAATTCAAGCGGAAAAGAAGAAACAGAGTAGGTGTGTATTTCTTTGCTTTGCCTGCGTGCACATAACTCCCCAAATCATTTCTCGTTTTGCAATTGCAAATTGGTTTTGTAAAATTAGGTACATGCAACCTTAACACATCTGAGACATTTGGGAATGTGTTAGACATAAAACTTTCTTTGAAGTCAAACCCGTGGTGAGCCGCCAAGTTTTTACTATGAATCAAAGCATATGCAAAAACCAAACCATAAGCAGTGTCAACTGATTTAAAATCCTTCCTCAGGCGGTCCACATCACCACTGAGATCAGTTCAACCCACTCCTGCAAAGAACAAACAATGCATTGCTGAAAGTGAAAGAATTTTAATTGAAAGCATAACATCTCTACATGTGCCAGTTCCTGAATGCCGAATAATAATTTCACCAAACTCTGTACCCTCTACATTACAAATCATCCCGAAGTAAGTAAACATGATCTTTCACATCGGCGTTGAAATCATTACAGAGGCTATTTGGCCTTACGTCATCTGAGAATAATTCATGGCTGAAATCGGTAAACATGTGCCAGATCGCTGAGCTGGGAACCAATGGAACAGTATCTGAGGTAGAGAGAGAGAGAGCGCGAGAGAGAAGGTCCCATTCTTGCTCTTATTGAATTACATTCAATCATGTTTGCCCGTGTCGGAGATGCTTTTCCCCCCTCCCACCGGAGCGTAATCAATAGCCAAAGAGGACACTTCCATTAGCTTTTGCGCCTGCTATCTAGGGACTGGTTCTGATGGTAACCAGGAAAAAGAAAGGAGGGAGGAGAGAGGAGAGAGGTTTGTTAAGTTCAAGTAGACTGGGCCCTTTATTCTTTCCATTTTTGCTTAAATTAACTGCATCTCAACAATGACAATGACTGAAAACCTCTTATTTGAGACCGTTTTGCAAAGCATACCAGCCTCAAAACTGTCCCCCATTCAGGAACTGTTGCTTGTTATCATTGGTTGTCATGTCCATACAGCATATATGAGAAATATTATGAGAATGCAAGGATGTCTCACACAGAATTATTTTTTGTTTGTCAATAAATGTGATGTTTTTCCTGGAGCACCTACAGAACCCATCGGGGAGAGGGCAGGCATGGATCTGTCATGGGCACACCTATCAGGACTTAACTGGGCTGAGAGCACAAGGGTGAAGCCAACTGCCAGATGTGGCTGCTCTAGTACTCTTTTTCATTCAACACTTCTATGCTGCACAATGACTTGAGAAGATAAACAAAACAAGCAAAGGCAGACAACAGACACCTTGAAGATGCCAATTTAAGGATAAAACAACTAAATGACAGCAAACGAGATGTACACAAACTCGCAGCTATGAACAGAAAACATTTTTAACAACATTTACTCAAAAATAAATAAATAAAATATATTTATATATCCACAATGAGAATAATGTACAGTATATATTGAGTGATATTATTATTTTATTTCTTTAAATCCTTTAATCTCATTGTTGGCAAGAAGAACAGAGTTCAGCAAAGTATATGCTGTAATGCATAAAATTATTATAATTAATCATTAAATATACATAATAAAAATGTAATATTATAAAAGAATTCAACTGTTCATGCAGGACTAACTATAAAGATTTAAGGTTTGCTGTCAGTCTTGACTGGAAGGATGGTTTTATTGATTTCTGTTAATTACACTAAGCTATTAGCAGATTAAACTCAATAATTACTTCAGTTGATAAACTGGCCTTTGATAAATGGTAGGAGCTCTGATTCAAAGTCGAAATCATGGCAACACCAGACCAAGGCTGGGTGTCACTTAGATTAATGGGAACTAGTCAAATAACTGTTATTACTGGACAATCAATGTTGACAGTCTTTCAATGTCGATAATCTCAAAATGGCCAAATATATAATCTGTCTCATTACCAGTAAAAAAAACTTTATAGGCAGTTCAGTAGTCACCATATGTAGGCGAGGAAAATATTCGAGGAAGTTCGAGTTGTAGTTCAAGGAAAATATAGTGAGTACCAATTTGCCTAATGTTCCTCTGAAAGTCTAAAAAAATGTCAGCTACCTAACAAGGTGGACAACTAGCAGTATCAGCTTCAGTAAAAAAAAGATGAGAATAGGAAATTCACCCTTAACTTAATACGTTTGTAAATCCTGAAGTACAGATTTACTGGACAGCATCGAGATGCAAACGAGAAACAGCATATTTATCCAGTGATCTGAGAGTGAAAATGATAGTTCAGAATTAGTCATTCATTTACAGCGTGCTTCGTCCCCCTCTTGTTTCCTCTGTCAATGAGCACCAGGGTTATTTGCTCAGAGTCAGCGCGTCTATGTTCAAGCACTTGAGATTAGAGCCTGCCTCATTAGTCTCATTGGAGACTAATGTTTACCAAAGACCCACCTCGCTCTGGGCCTTTTGTTGCTTTGTCTTCTTTTTATTTCAGCCTCTTGAAGAAGGCCTGGTTTTTAAATGAAAAATATCAGGCTTGCTGGAAAATGAGAGAGGGGGGGGGGTGAAAAAAAGAGGTTCTGACGTCAATGAGGCACGATATGTCCTGAAAACAAGAATCTCTTGGCAGTAACCAGGTAACAAGCATCATGCTCAAAGGGAGCAGGGACGTTCTCAAAGAGCACTGCGAGAGGGTACGAGACCGGTGCACTTGAGGGTATCATGTTCATCAATTCAACACATGATCCCTAGTGCACCTAGTCTTTTAAATGCGCTCTCCTAAATGATGTGTCAATGATAATATGGCTGTGTACAGTCCATTTTCCACTACGTGGTTGCTGGGAAGCATAAAGTTTGGCTTGATGTGGCACACAGCCTTACTTTAAATCCTTTAATGTCTTGCATCCTTTATATCCGCTTCTGGGAGGGATACTTTAAGTAAAAGAAAAATATTCTGTTCCCTCTGATTCTTGCTGGTCTCTGTTGTAAAGTAAACACCGAACTGTGTTTCCACAGCAACCTGGTCACACTTAACATCATCGAGATGCAGACGAGAAACAGCATATTTATCCAGTGATCTGAGAGT